CTAACCCTAACCCTAACTCTAACCCTAACCATATCAGATAGTGACCAGGGTACGTTCTGGCAGTACCCTGGGAGACATAGACCCTCTCAGCGCTACTTACTTATAAACAATATATTTGTAGTTGTAAACTTGTAGGTTCTGTTTTATTATTTTTAAATTCAAAAAGACTTACCGTAAAATTCATCTGCAAGCCACCAAAAATGAAATCCAGGAAGGAGTACTCTCTTACTTTCTGAAAGATTAGGTGGAAACAGACTGTAAACAAAAACGCAAAGCAAATCTTGCTACGCATCTCAAATGCAAGAAAAATGTTCAACACCACATTGGTGATTACATTACATTACATTTGTAATAACTTGCTACCTATAAACCACATTCAAATTGTACTCTACAGATACTAGCTATCTGGAAGAATGACAGCTGCCTCAACCTCAAATGCTCATACCTGACAAGATGTAAGGTAGATGACACCAGAGTTCTTGTAGTTTCTCTTCTTCGCCTTCTTCTTCTCGTTGATGCATTCCCACTGCACCTGCTTCTGTGCGGCTTGCTCCATCTCTGCCGCTGTCGTTTTGAACTCTCCGATTAGGTCATGACTGCCATCATCATCGTAGTCGTGGCACAGTACCTGCAGAGAAAACCCAGCTATGTACAATCAAGAGCAGATAAAGAAGACCTTCTTTATCTGCTCTTGGTACAATCTATGAGACTGTGTTGGTCCTGATCACTGCAAAATATAGCTACAGAGACAGGTGATAAGCGTGCACACACACACACAACACCCACGTACGCACGCACACACACTTAAGCAGAATGTTCAAATATTTATGCAGTGATTGGCTGCACAAAAGGCATGTATGCGTTAACAAGAACAGCATGTTTTTTTTGTTTTTTTTTCCAGTGGTTGCAGTCAATTTCAATTACTTATAGTGTGTGAATTGATAGTTGTTCGCCACAATGGTAAAGGATCATCTGTGGGTAGCTTTATTTCAGAAACGGACAAGTTTTTTTTTTACCAATTTAGAATTGGTATCCTGCCACAATTTGGAGGAAAAGAGCATAACAAATTACTATCAATTAATTAAGTGTAGAAAATGTTTTGCACTTGTCAGTAATTTCCAGACGTTTCTGACCATTAGACACTACTTTCATTTTGTGTCCACAATTTTTTTTCAAGTTAAATGCTATGAGATTGAATTTATTTTATTATACATCCGTGGAAACAGAAGTAGATAATACGGAAGGAGTGTGACTTCAATAAACATGGGAAATTCGTTATTTATGAGCCTTAAAATACCTACGATTTACTACGCGTAACTCAACCAACTTGAGCTCAAATCGTACACAGTACATTCGCCTAGCATTGTGCGAAATCGTTTCCTCGTATACACCCACAATCCGGAGATAGACTAAAACGTATGACACGATTCTCCATTGTGTTGCCAGCAAACCGAATCCATAACCTGCCTAACTTGAAACAATAGGCAGCTACTAACGACTCCTGCGCACTCTTGTGCCCTCGGCGATGCGGTGTGGCTCGCTGGGAGATTGGACATCGACGCAACACTCGACAAGCTAATCTTTGACCTATTTACAGCTGGTATGCCCCCCACGCACGCACGCCCACCGCAATCAGCAGCAGCTCCAGCTCCAATCTCCCAGCGAGCCACACCGCATCGCCAAGGGCACAAGAGTGCGCAAGAGTCGTTAGTAGCTGCCTATTGTTTCAAGTTAGGCGGGTTATAAATTCGGTTTGCTGGCAACAGAATGGAGAATCGTGTCATACGTTTTAGTCTGTATCTCCGGATTGCGGGTGTATACGAGGAAACGATTTCGCACAATGCTAGACGAATGTACTGTGTACGATTTGAGCTCAAGTTGGTTGAGTTACGCGTAGTAAATCGTAGGTATAACTATTCTAAGGCTAGTAAATGACAAATTTCCCTTGTTTATTGAAGTCACACCCCTTCCCTATTATCTACTTCTGGTGGAATCAACTAGTCGAGTTGACAAGCCGAATGTAGTTGTTTGAGCTTGTCACCAGGTGGCAGTAGCTGATAAGAGCCAGAAATTTAATCTGGTGTTGGATTTATCATAAAATAAATTTACTCTTATTTTATCAGGAAATCTGATGAAGTTAATAATCTCAAATATATTAAATGGTGTTACAATATACTATGAAATAAGCATAGAGTAAAAATACAACCAACGGCAACAACGAAATAGTTTAGGGGCATTTTTCCCGCATCATGCTCTTTATACTTTGCAAACTCTTATGTGTAAATATAAACTTATTTAACGTGTGCACATCTCATACCTTTAAGGGCCTGTTTGGTTCTCCACTGCACAGTGTTGCCATATTTATCTGGAATTTCTTCCACGTGGGATGGAGAGTATTCTTGATAAACTGGAAAACACATCAAATATGTCAAATTCAGAAAGCAACATGCAGTCACGGGGTCATCATGGAAAAGTGATAATCCTGAGGCAACAAAATATAGCATTAGTCACAGGTTAAAGAACAAAGGTTACAGAATGTATAGTGATAGGCACAAAGCTACAGAATACAATTATAGTCACAGGGTTACAGAATGCAGTAATACATGGGCACAAAACACAGTAAAGTACATGGCATAATAAATTTAATGAATAATATATTCACATAATTTGGTAACACTACACAATTATGAACAGGTAATGGAACAGGAATTGGAAAACAGAATTTTGCTACAGTAACAAAATACAAATAAGTTTGTTACAGTCACAGTAATAATATTATTCAGTAACAGTAACCTGGTAGCTGAAACCTGTAAGTCACAGAATAATGAAACTGAACAACTAAATTGTTAAAAAAAGAGTCCTATAGACATATTCATTTGTTAATATTACATACTATTGTTTTTTCCTGTGGTAGGTAAGACACTCATTTATACAAGGAAAATGAATTTAAGTAGAGAGAGGATTGTGCACACAAGTCTCTTATAATATGGCAGGCACATTATCACCTCTGTCCGATGTACAGTGTGCCAATTTTCATCTGGAGACTGTTTTTGAATTTCCAGGAATGGATCAGATTTGCCAAAGAAATCCTGCCAAAAATTAAACAAATGTATAAATCAATGATGTACATGTAGATGTGTTTTACATACCTCAGTCCGATGTACAAGATCCCAACTTCCCCATGTAGTCTGCTTATAGAATTCTAAGAATGGATCAGACTTGCCAAAAAAGTCCTGGAAGCAGGAAAACCTCAAGATATACCCACACTACTCAGTGTCAATGTAATTAAAATAGGGATACTAATACGCACCATTAGAAACATGAGCACAAAAATAAAAACACATCAAAAGACATTTTAATCAACAAAAGCCAAATGATATAGGTTCACAAATAGTTTAGCCGCTAATCATATATACATTAGATTTACAATATAAGAATGTGAGAAGTGAACGCTGTTAGCATATGCCCTGTAAATGTATTTGTCACATTGTCATATGTGGATCATTCCACGTGATCAATACTTATTATCAAATAATCTATGTAATAAAATTATTCTAGAAGGCTCGGTGATTGCACTAATATAACTTCATACATATATCCAGTCTGTTAGCAAGTAATAGACATCAAATTATTCCAACCTTTTTGTCCAAATCTGTTGCACGAAAATGAAGAATCAGGCATTCTTTGCTAGCAGACATCTCTTCAGCTGACGCCTAGATGCAAAATAATGCAAAGACATTTTTCTTTGCTAATAAGAACATACCTTTTGAGAACTCACTAGATAGTATGTTACAAATTAGCTTAATATATTTTTTTTACTGTGGTTATCTCTAAATGTACACACAAGCAACTACCATGTAACAAATTCATTGGTTAAGCAATGTAGTTTTTTGGACATATCTAGTATTTAATAATCATACGTACAAAAGACATTGTATTGTCAATTTTATTTAACACAATTAACTTACAGTTATCTGCCCATTTCCAGCTTTCTGACCCTTCTCAAGTAGCAATTGTTTTGTATATGGAGTATTTGCTACAACCTAAAAGAAAAAAAAACATAAAATATACTAACATCACACATTCAATATATACACACAATATTACATACATATTATCATGCAGTAATTTATTCAATTTAGTTGCACCTTTGTTTACAACACATATCGTTATTATATTATACATTTTAGTAAACATTTGTCGTGAAACTAGATCACATGTAAATAGTAGTCATCTAAGAGAACATAGCTATTTCTTAAGAGTGGCTGTAAATTTGAAAGGAGCTAACCTGGGCAAGTGTACATTCCATTTGTCCAAGAAAGTCATCATCACTAACAGTAGCTGTAGTGTTATCGATATCGTACACAGCAAATCTCAGCTTCTGAACCTCCTCAAAGTAGTAGTCCACAAGGAAGGTTTTAGCGAACTGTGGTGACAGTGAATTCTGGATGTTCTCTGTCCGCCCAATCTGTACACAACCAGACGTGGCATGTTTACACACATAAACACAATACTCAACAAGTGTCGCAGAGCGTCAGCGCTCAACTGACGTGTACTGTAGCCTGGTATTCTTCTGATAAACTCACTGGCAACCGAATCAAGTGCGCCCTCCTGCCACCGCATTGATAGGCTTTGCTATACCGGTAGTACAGTAATAAAGATATAGCTGTGTAACTTTAATGACTTCGCTATATTAACGTTATCATGGATATGCGTCGAGCGCGAGCGTAGTGGTGGTGGTGGGGGGAGGGTGGGGAGTGGAGGGTAGATGGAGGGTGGGGGAGGGGCGGGTGGAGGGGACTTTAATAGCAAAAGCAGTTCAGTCCTTTGTTAACAGTCAACAAATCCATGTTTAACCCTCCTCTTGAGGGTCAAAAGGTTATCAGACACTTACTCTTCGCACGTCAGCGGAAAGTAGATTTCATGGTCCTTTCAATAAAGTGATAAAAATGGTAGGTCAGCGCTGAAAAAAACAAAAATTTTGCACTCGGTCCGTTAGACCATGTCCTCAGAAAATGTCTGATATCTGACCTTTCCCCCACTGCCCTTTGACCTGTGACCTCCAATTTCGCACTGGTGATGGGTTTCCTCCCCATCACACTATACATCAAATATTAAGAGCGTAGGTCGAGCCGTTGAGATTTGTGCCGCAATTCCGTATTTCCTCCTATACCTTAAGTTAAGGGGAAAATATTCCCCCTCCATTGACACATCTTGACCTTTAACCCTTGACCCCCAAATTCGACATCCCGAGTCCTTTTCGCGATCCCCCCCCCGACACACTAATGCGGCTCCCCCCCGACGTCTTGAATATCAAGATCGTACGTTGTGCAGTTAAGATTTGTGCCGTAACTGTTGACGCACGGACGGACGGACGAACAATCATGCGATTCTACAAGCTGCATCTGACTATGTTAGATGAGCTAAAAACAGTATAATATGATACTCATTGCATAAAACATAGTATTTGTACTTATATATTTTTGTTATCAGGCATTACCTTTTGTTTATAAACAGAAAAGATGAGCAAACATGGCTTCTGTGCTCCCATGACACCACACAACGGTGCTGTCCACCTGCTAAAGTTGCACTTTCAAATTTTTATTTTGCACAAGACTGGGAGCTACTATACCAGCAAACTAACACTTATTGCAATAAACAAGTCTCATTATGTTTTGCATCATACCTCTCGCCAGCTGCCCTGAACATTTTGGTACAAGCAACACATTGGGTCAGACTTCGATAATACATCCTTATCCAGTAAGTTCTGACACTTGACTCTTATTTCCACCTGAAGTCAAATAAATAACTTATCAACATAATTAAATGGGAGTGACAATGCAGGTAAGACTGTTATGTATCAACTATGAATCACAGCTCATCGGGAGAAGAGTTTGGCCATTGTGCAGCACAATAATAAATTCCTTGACCAACATCTCACTTTTACCACAAATGGAGTGCCAAGAAATTAGTGCAAGATTGTAGTGAAAATGCAGTTATGGTAACTACTTCTGTAAATAACATATTTATTCATAGTGGTTCCATGTATTAATTACCAAATTACATTCACAAACAAGTATTAGTTGGATTATTCTCTTGATATAACAATATAAATGTCCAATTTTAATTTTTTAAAGCAATACAAGTCTTGCCTTTGGTTGAATCAGCAATATTGTGGCATGACAGCAATTTGGAGGGACACCACGGCAAAAGCAGCCGGATACATACACAAAATTAAATTATGGGAAGGGGCGCAGATAAAACTCTCTATGACAATCACTGCAGTTTATCGCCATTGGATATCAGCCAGTTTTCTGAGGCACTATGACAAGTAAGGAAGGCAATTTTATATGAAGTCAGTGCTCTGGTGAAATACGAGCCTTCATAATACTGCTGCGGGCTTTGCCTGTGAAGAAAATCTGCTGTGATCGACTGGCCGCATAAGTTATTCTACACTTATAGTTTGTTTTGTGCTCAAAGTTCACTCTACATATGTGACCCGCTCCAGCAAAACCAGGATTAAGTAGGAAATTCTACAAATTGAGTTATGTGCATATCTGAATAGATCATTTAATTACCTTTAAAATGATATATAATATTTGGCTATATCTAAAGAATTGACCGTTCTACAGCAATTTGAAGATCGGAAACCGACTTATTCCGGAATATGCAGCTTTTGAGATTATCGGCTTATCCCAGTCGGGGATAAGCGGTCAGGGGCCGGTCTAAAGGGATTTCTTTTAAAATTAAAAATGACCATAATAATCTAGAGATATCTGAACCTATATATCCGGATTAAATATGCACTTAGGAACTTATTTTTGTAAAAATCTCATTTTTGTCCAGGTAGGTCATTTTCAGCATTAACGTGTGCGCGTGCTCATTACTCAAAACAATGACTTGCGACTTAGTCCGTATTATGCTGGAGCGGGTCACATATGACAAAAACACCAGAGATTCATTTAACATGTTGCTGCCAAAACGGTTTAAATGCTTCACATCAATTACTAGAAATGATGTGTCGGGAGTGCTGGCATTCGCATGTTTATGAATTGTTGTTGTGACTTAAATAAACACACCTCTGCAATATCGCATTAGTGGTCAATGACAATAAAAGCATAGCTGGATTCATAACCCTGGAGGCAGGGATTTGGAATTTAAGGTAGCAGGCAGCATCTTTGTTATCTACAGTGGTTAGTTTGCTACTTGCTATCAATGTAGGTGGCAACTACTTGCTGCAAGAAACTCCTAATAAACAAAACTAAAAAACTAACTTTACAGGGAATTTCAGTTGTAAATGATGGTCACTCGTTCAGGCTTTTTTTTTCAAATCACATTGAACCTAGATTACTGTCCATACTGAATTCAATGTGCAACTTAGGTAAAAGCAAGAGTGTCTTAGAGTGACTATATATATATTTACAATTACCAAATCAAGGAAATCAAACCAAGGTCAAACCAGCTCCCTTATGTATGGAAGCAATAGAGGGAGCACTCTGCCGGGGTGAAAGGAAGTAGAACTGCTAGAGTTTTCTCTGGGTAGGTAAGTTTGCTGTCTACTTTATTCTCTGGCAGCAAGCACTTGCTTGCCTGGCAAGAAAGTTCATTTCTAACACCGTTGGAGCTAACTGTGAGAACCACTATACCAGCAAACATATATGATACAATAACATTTGTGATAGGCTACTAGGTATAGGAATGCCCATTGCCCAATTCATATCAAGACATATTACGGGTTTAAAATGGAATTACATATATTAATTACCTTGGATACAGGAGCTGAGCTAAGGGCGCCTGGCCCAGCTTGCCCACTGAACACTCCATGAGACATGCTGCTTCTTTTGGTGATTCACTTTCTATTAAAAAAACACTTACTATGTATTTACCTGTATTTACCTATACAGCCACACATCAAGGGTTTGCATGGCTATCAAAGGGTTAGGCAGCTTGCGATTATATAAAACTCTGAGCTGTCCAATAGTGGACTAATTCGATTTTAAATGAGAGCACGTCCTTTGCCGCAATAACATGTTGGGGAAGGCTGTTCCAGCTGTCAATCATTCTCTGAGAGAAAATATGTTTACGTAGTTCAAGACGACTGCGCTTTTTGTACAGTTTCATGCTGTGACCTCTGATGGTGGACAGGACTGAGGGTGAAAAAAAATGTAGCCTGCATTTAACACATAACTTTTACACCATCTACTTAAAATGCCTTTGAATAACTACATTTGATTAGGTTACCATATAAACTCTTACTCCCATCTCATGATCTAGCTCTACTAACTCAGTAACTGTACTAACCTGGGCTCTGCCATAGGTGACAGAGCCAAGGACGGTTCCAAAAGCCACACTCGTGTGACGTGATATTGACATTATGACACGTGACAGATTTTGAGCCGAAACCTATTTGCCCATCTCTAATAGAAGTAGTTACTAGTGCTCATAGGGTCTATGTCCCCCAGGGTACTGCCGGAACGTACCCTGGTAACTATCTGATATGGTTAGGGTTAGTGTTAGGGTTAGGGAGTAGGCGTAGGCGACTCCCTAGACTCGTTAGTAGAGTAGGCAAGGTACGGTCCAGCATATTATTAGATAGTACCAGGGACCAGGGTACGTTCCAGTATACCGGACCGTACCCAGGGTAGGTACGTTCCGGCAGTAATGTAACATGTCTTTTGCATGTGTTACATGAAGTAGTCAGCGAGGCTATAGACTAGGGTTGTTTGGTGACCAGTTAGTCTGCGTAGACGCAGCGTCGCACATATTGGGCGACTACATTGATGTATTAGGGAGAATGGTAGACGTGGTTAGGTTAGACAGATTAGAGGGTCATTGTGAAATGGGGGGGTAGTACGCGGTCTGTGAGAACGGTTACATGTGCGGGCGGTATGTTTGCAGAAGTTTTGGGGGGTAATAGATAGGACAGAGATGTAGGAAGGGGATTCTGGTTCTGGTCGTGAGAGTGAGCACACATACGCGCGTGTGCGCGTGTCTGTCTCTTTGTGCGATGTGTCTACAGTGTGCAAGTTATTAAAGTTTATTCCGGTTACCACAACAAGTTTGGAGTCTTCTACTTCTGAGTTTGGCTTTATATCATCATTCCAATGTTACAGTACCCTGGGGGACATAGACCCTCTCAGCGTTACTAGTAGTACCACCGGCGCCACTACTACTAGTACTACAGTACTACTGAGAGTATAGGCACTTGAACGTACAACACAACGGTTCAAGGATAGAGAACATGGGTCCCAATAAAACCAATGTCATTTACATCAATATAAATATAATATTATATCAATATAATAGGTTAGGGTTATGGTTAGGGTTATGGTTAGGGTTAGGGTTAGGGTTAGGATTAGGGTTAGGATTAGGGTTAGGGTTAGGGTTAGGCACATTGGTTTTATTGGGACCCATGTTCTCTATCCTTGGGCCCAATACAACTGTAACTTGTATTACAACTACAATTACAAAGTAAAAGTTACAACAACTTGAACAAGTAGCCTACAACACTGTCAACAACAATCAACATTGTCATTGCATTGTTATTGCCATTGCATTGGCATTGGGATGTTATTACAAACTTTAAACGGCAGCACATCTACTATAAATCTAATAAGTATTTGGTAATACACGTGGAAGAACAGCTATTTAATGAACTACCCTGTGGCCATAGAACGGAATATTATATACCACATAATAATATGAATTACACACCCGCGAACAAAAACACAACAGGAAACGGTGATCGGTAGACTGGTACCCGTCCCTTCTCACAAGCTCGATATAGGCCTATATAAAGCTTGTAAGAAGGGACGGGCACAAGTCTACGGTGGTCGGGTTTGTCACATCCGGCTGCAGTCATTGATATTTCCTAAGGCGGGTAATTTTATACAAACAACCGAAGCATCAACACCATCAATATTAATCTATTGTCACTATTTATACAAATAATTAATTATGTAATACCTATTACACTGTTTCATTTACTTATACTTAATCAAGACTGAAAATTATAGATCCTGGAATTTTCCGGCCGTCTGTATTTCAAGCTACAGGCAATGTAATGGCGCTAATTTCGATGTAATGTTCGTGCTACAGACAGTATTCAGTAACAACAGTCAACACTTACAGACGAGAATTTGCAACAACATTCACCATAACACTTTTTACCAATCGTATAAACGCCGCTTACTCTAGTCTTCATTTGTAAGTTCAATCATTGAATGTAGTACACAGTATCCAGGAGTAGAAATTAACCTTTGCCTTTGGCTTTGAACAAGGGTGAAGGTACTTAGGTAGCTCTAGAGTCTAGTAACTATAGCCCGCGTACAGTTGCCGCAGGCTATGCGGCAACTGTACGCGGGCTATAGTTACTAAAGCTAGGGTGAAGGGAGTCCCAACGGCAACGGGATGGCATACTGAAATCCACTGGCAGTTCCAAATGATGGGGATTATGTATGCCAGTATGGGGAGTACGCAGCGTAGTGCAGAGAGTCAGCATTCGCGCTGACGTTAGGCTTTTCTTTTGCAGTGAGGAGTTGTTTACCGCAGATAGGAGAGTTATATTAGTGGTTCAATAAGATTTATTATACATTCTCTTTATTTTTACTGATTTGTTGGAACTGCCAGTTCTGAAAACATATCTAACAGCAGGCCCGTAGCCAGGGGGGTTCGGGGGGTTAGCACGAACCCCCCCCCCCGAGCAAAAAAACACCTTAGGTATGCACCAGATCGCTCCATTTTAGTGTAATAATTGCAAAATCTCCATGGTGTGGGAGGGGACACCCCCCTCCTACACCCTCCCCCTGCTTGGTCGCTATGCTCCCTCGCTCGGTCGCGTCGCGCCCTCACAAATTGCCAACATTTAAAAACGAACCCCCCCCCATATAAAGCTGGCTACGGGTCTGTAACAGTAACAATAACATTGACAAGCCCATTAATTCAATTTCTTAACCAAGTATTGAAGTACCATTGTGTAGACTGTACCATTGGGTAACACATTCAATTTCAAGATAGATATACTTTGAGCTCTCTCTCTCTCTCTAATGTTGATAACATAAAATAGCCTATCAGTTCAAAGTCTGTTCAATCCCTGCTTTGCTTGCCCAAACTAGGGATTTGCCTAATATCAAATTGGCAACATTCCAAATGCCACATCAGTAGAATTTGTTAATAATATTTAATAGTTACAATGTGACAAGTTATGTGTGACAAGTTTTGCCAAATCTGCAGATTGGGTGCCCCAAACTGCAGATGCACTGAAATTCCTAATTCGTTCAAGATTCCAAGTTTGGATACAGCACTGACACGCATTACAATTTATTGTGTACAGTATGGCTATAATTAGTACTGCACAATCAGGCTGTATGTGTGATTAATTAATGTCAAAACACATCTTTCGATGCATGACCATTTCTTGCAACATCATTTAAACAGATTATGGAACAAGGAGACTACTGCAGTACAAGACGTGATGAAAATTGCAATTGCAATTCCCCTCACACCTTCAAGCCTGTCATACATGTTGAAGTTTGCCGAAGCTTAAAATGGTAGGTCACATAACGCTTATAACTTACCATAGTATTGTACTAATATGTATTATTATAGCAGCTACAAGTCTAGCAGCACTGGTCCAGTGGATATTCTAACTAGGCATGTTCTGGTTAGTTGAAATTAGATCAAATTCAGTAAAAAGTTAATGTGTCTAGGAATTTTGCGTGACTGATATCGCTCAAACATTTCAGCTTTAAACTTGGTGTTTAAACACTGCGAGCCACATGACAATGACAAAATCCAATTTATGTAAATATATACAAAGGGGTTTGATCCGATCGCGACCTGGCCATGTCAGCTAGCCTAATCTACCTATTATTTCTGTTTCAGCGTAATTGAGGATTCCATTTTGAAGGAGAGAGTAATGATCCTGCTGCAGAATATTAAAACTATAACAGATGAGACCATCATACCATGTAAGGTGATCGAGCGTAGTGATCCTCTACTTGGCCAGAATGTGAACAGCATTTGCCTATACCACAGTGATGTGAATCATTATAGTGGGGACAAAGTAAGTAACTAATGTATGCTGTCACTTGTTATGTTTTGGTTGATTGAAGTCGCATTTTCATGTCTAAAATGTGTTTTATATGCCAATTGGTCTTCAACAGGTTTTTCTAACAATTCCATTTTTGCACAGTAATATTGTGGTTATCTATGGTCAATAGATTAAAAGCACTATGTGTGTGTGTGTGCGTGCGTATGTGTGTGCGTGCGTGCGTGCATGCGTGCGTGCTTCTGCGGGTGTGTACGTGTGTGTGCGGGCGTGCGTGCATGCGTCAGTGTGTGTTAAGAAGGTCTCTGTATATCGATGCAATCATGTAAAACAGTTTTTAACATTTTTTGTCATAAGTATCGTTTAGAATTACATAGTTGTATGCAGTGTATTCACTTGCTGTGCTGCATGATATTACCACATAGAGAGTGAGCATAGCATTGGAGAAAGCGCATCTAACTCTGCACATCTACTCGCTGTCTGATGGAGGACCAGTAACAGAAGAGCTGGATGATGAGGACCTCGCTGCAGCGAACAACTGGATACTGCCAGCTAGGGAATTTAATGGAATTTGGGAAAACCTTATCTTTGAATCTGACATTAAAGCGCAGGTAACATTTCTTGCTGCTCTTGGCTATCAATAGTACTGTTTAAAGATTTTAAACAGTGATATGTGTATATTTTTGTGACTGAGAAATGGTGATTCACACTGTATATTTTCACAACAAAAGTGTAAATGAGTTGTCGGTTTGTATGAAGGATATTAAACTGAAAGCTATGGCTCATTCTACGAAGGATTTTTATATGATAGCCATGGCACATTGTATAAAGGATATTTATATGATAATTGCTATGGCACATTGTTCAAAGGATATTTATATGAGAATCTTGGCATTGCATTTCTGAATGAGTCATTGTTATACATGGTCTTTGTTTATAATGTTTGTTTTCTCCTTTCAGTTGCTGAATTATGCATTGACCACACTCTTGTATTCAGACAAGCAAATAGATTCAAATATTATATCATGGAACAAGGTCATTCTTCTTCATGGTAATATGTTCTTTTTATATTGAATTTTATATTTTGTTAATTTGATAAATTGATATATAATTTTAGAATGTTCAATAAGTGCAAAATGTTTAGCAGTAAATATAATTTATATGCTTTCAATGCAGCATACTAATAAACATAATAGTATTGTGCTCTGGTTTTGTGTTGTGTTAGGACCTCCTGGTACTGGAAAAACTTCACTCTGCAAGGCACTTGCACACAAGCTCTGTATACTAATGTCTGACAGATATACCTATGGACAGCTTGTAGAAATCAACAGTCATAGTCTCTTTTCAAAATGGTTTTCAGAGGTATGTGTTATCACCAAAAAAGGGAACTTTTCTGCAATATATATATTACAGGTCCATAGTCCGTTATACGAAACCCTTGGGCTAGATGTGTTTCGGAGTTGAACATTTTTTGAATTTCAGAACAGTAGTGCAAGAAATGTATTGTATGTTATGGTAACATCCTAGCAGGGTCTGTGGCTGCACCTCATGCAAACACTTCTCATTCACACAAAAAGCTAAATTTATGCCATCCAGGTCTTGTTGTGCAGACGAGTGACGCTCCACAAAATAACTTGGTTTTCTGAGCTTTTTGAATTTCGAAATTCTAGATAAGTGATTGTGGACCTGTGTCGCATGTATGTAATTTATTAGATGGTTGTATATATAAGCAAAATCTAGAGCTTCATATTTTTATCGGCATACATAAATATCTTCCATGTTTTCCAAACCATAAGCACGTTAATCGTTAAGACATATAATTTAACACAGTGTGTTGTTAGATATGTATTTAAGCACCAAAAGACCATGTTATTGGACTGGATTAAAATATAGTATATCCATAGTACACTTGTCTGCAGCTACGCGCACATGAACCCACTCATGAACAGATAAAAGAATACAGTTTAAGCAGCAGGGCTTTTATTGTACTAGGCTCGACTATGTGCCTTTCTGTCTACTCAGTAAGACGCTGTATATTCTAATGTTTGTGATCAGTATTTTAACAATTTTGCTGTCTTTCAAATTTCAACTATCGATTTTAGAGTGGCAAGCTTGTGATGAAAATGTTTCGGAAGATTGAGGAATTTATCGAGGACCCCCGTGCACTGATCTGTGTGTTGATAGATGAGGTATGCTATCATTTCCAATTAATGTCTTTTAATAGTTGTGGATTTGTTAAATGTTATGTAGCTCAACCTTGAATCGAAATCTTAGATTTATCATGTTGGGAACTGTCTGCCAGTGCCGTCCAACTCACTGCAGTCATCATTATTGTGGGTCTCTACTGGAAGCTGTTATGGTGCTAGATATATGCCTTGGTTGTAAAGACTCGTATATTGCTTTCCCTAACTTTGTTTTTTAAGCCCTATGTTGCTGTAAGGTTGATTTACGAAGGCAAAACCTCTGTTCCTCATTTGAAATAAGGTACCCATAATAGGAGAGATTGATTGATTTGTGAGGAATCGTATGCAAAAAATAAATCATTGACGTATATTTTATACCAGGTGGAGAGCTTGACAGCGGCAAGGAAGGCAGCAATGTCAGGCACTGAGCCGTCAGACTCCATACGTGTCGTGAACGCTGTGCTTACTCAGATCGATCAGATAAAGAGGTGAGTGACTTGATTATGGTTGAACGCACCATATACATACAATCCTATTATCTTCTAGTTTCCTATTCTTATCTTCAACCATATCATTGTAGAATTGTGGTGATTATCATTTTTTCTTGTATTATGGAAAAATTTTATGAAGACGAAATGATATTGGCTGATTTGAATTGCAAAAAATCTTACAGGCACCCTAATGTGATTATCCTGACAACATCAAATGTGACCGGTGCCATAGACCTAGCATTTGTGGATCGGGCAGACATCAAGCAATATATCGGCCCTCCTTCACCCGCTGCAATCTACAAGATATTCACATCCTGCATTAGGGAATTAATGCGGGTTAGTGGCTGGCTGTGTACTGCTATGTGCAAAGAACAGTATAGTATATTGCCGTTTGGTCGTTGTTTCTGGGATAGAATAAAAGGGGTGATAAAATCATTGTTATCATTATGAAATCAGCACAAACATCATCAGCAACTTTACATGTGTACTTGTGTACATTGTACTTGTAGGCAGGTATAATCATTGCAGAGGATCTCTGGGATTATAGTGAGCTGCAAGAAGTGAATAAGGTCTCCAATATGGTGGCCTCACAGGCTGCTGCAATGAGCTTAGAACTGTTTGAAGCAGCCAAGTGAGTAATAATAAATGTATATATAAATCAAGAGCGATTTGTAAAATTTAATTTCATGTTTTTTCAGTCTGTGGGAAATATTCATTTATGTTTTAAAATGTACCAATAATTTAAAACTAGCATAAAGTTGAAAATGCTGAAATACTACATCTGTAATGTTTAGTGTATAAAATAACAAATATAAATGGTCAGCTTTTCAAAATCATTTTTCTATACATTCTTAATTTTGAAAAGTATACACGACTAATATTATCTTGCTTTATTCTGCTGTCAGGAAGAGTGAGGGTCTAAGTGGGAGAGCATTAAGGAAGTTACCCTTCATAGCCCACAGCCTTTATATACAGGTAATGCATGTAAATCCAGCTGGGGTGCTAAAATGTATAGCTATATGAACTACTTGTACACCAGTTGCAATATAGATTTTGATAGTTTCGTGCAATTTAATACAACTTAATTGATATTATTTACTTAATTACATACTTTATATCCCTAATGTCAGTGCTTCACACTTCACAAGAACACTGTCGGTGTTCTTTTCCAAACGAGACATGTTTCTGTTTTGCAATAGTCATTTTGTTATTTTAACTAGGAACTAACATTCTTGACTAAATGACAACCGCTCTGTGAAAGCATACAGTTCTGTATTTACTCATCTCCATCCAGGTCCCCCAGGTTGACTTGCGCACGTTTGTCTCCGCAATTGGCAGAGCAATAGAGAAGCAGCTAGAGGAAAGAGACCACCTTGAACGAGAGGCAGTTTGATATGAGCGATCTTTGGGAGGTGATGAGTGTGAGAGCGGGTTGTTAGCATGCAGATAAGCCACGTACAGGATCATGTCAGTGACTTAATCAAAGATAGGGCTTCACTGGCACGTTCCATGTTATATGCTCATTGTCATAGGGCTGGGTACCAAGCAATTCAAGCAGCTTTTGGTATAGCTTTATCATGAATGGTGAACTAAAGTAATCTGTGTTACACAATTATCACTACCAATAAATATTAATATTAGATTGTTCAAGTTGTAATAATGTGTTCTCATATTATATATATATGGTACATTATAAGCATCCATGGTAAGCTAAACACGTGGAACATGATAGATCACACTACAGATCAACCAATCAAAATGGTTACGTCAGTCTTGGGCAAGTGCTAAATATGGTCATAGTAATTTACACCATTTGCATTTTAATCAGGGATGAGATTGGATAATTTAATTTTCAGCTGAAATTTTAATTAGCAATGGGAGGACCGTAGGTCATCGCCATGCAAGGGGGGTCCGGGGGCATGCTCCCCCGAAATTTTTTTAAAAGAATGGTGCAATTTGGTGCATTCTAAGCTATTCTGAACACATAGGAGACTCTTGAATCACCTTTTCAAGTTGTCAAAAGGAACAAACGAACTAGGAAATCAGGGGGCTGACAATAGGGCAAATTTTTTATTAAATGTCTAGACATGTATTATGATTATGTATAAATTACATTGTGATTATGACATTAATGTATTAATAAATGACATCGTGTATAAACGACAATAAATGACATAATGACATCATGTTTATGGTAATAAATGCATGTATTGAATGATATTATGTAATAAATGACTAGACATGTATTAAAATGCTCAGATTGAGACGGGGATACTTGGGTGAGTATTGTTGCGACCAAAAACCGTTGCAGATATATTGCAATACGAACAAAACCGAGCAATATTTTCCAATACGTATTGGGAAGTGTTTATATCCAATGCATGATTTAGTAACAATTTGATTGGGTTTAATATCATCATATATTGTATATATGGACATGATTTACATTTCTCATAGTTTTTCTTGAGAAAAAAGCACGGCAATCGTTTTCCAGCTGACAGCGAGCCAGCCTCTGTGCCGCTAACAATGTACCCGCAGCTGTCTGAATACCCTGGAGTTTGTCTATATTAGGCGCGGTAACAGTGAGATAATTTGTATTTTGCTCCGTGGTTTGTGTTAACCAAATCAGATTGTAATCGCGTGCGAGAAGGAGCGTCCGAGAGAAGGCGTGTGAGAAGGAGGAGGGAGGAGAAGGGGAAGGTGGTGGAGAGGGGGAGAAGCTGGTGGAGAAGGAGGAGAGGGAGCCAGCTGGTGGAGGGAGGTGGTGGAGAAGGAGAAGGCGGTGGAGAAGGTGGCAGGGAGATGCCTTCTCTCTGGCAGCCAACCTTCCCTCCCTTCGTCGCACCCAAACCTCACCAACCAAACCTTCTCCACCAACACTCCTTTTTCTCCACGCAGCTTCCTCCCTTCTTCCCTTCTTCCATCGTCACAGCCAGCTTCTCCCCTCCTCCTTCTCCACACAAGCTTCTCCCCTCCTGCCTTCTCCACGACCTTTTCCCTTCTCCCCTTCCTCCTCCACCACACGTTCTCCTCCCTTCTCCACTAGCTTCTCCCCCTCCCTCACCACCTTCTCCCCTTCTCCCTTCCTTCTCCACGCAGCGTCTCCCTCCTGTCGTTCCTCCGACCACCTCTCCCTTCTCCCCTTCCCTCCTTCTGCACACCCGAGCTCTTACCCTCCTCGTTCTCTCCACACACTTCTCCTTCTCCCCTTCGCTCCTCCTCCACCCAGCATGCTCCCCTCATCCCTCTCCCGCAACCCAGCTTCTCCCCCTCCTCCACCACCTCTCACTTCTCCCCCTCCTCCTTGCTCCACAGCTTCTCCCTCGCTTCTCTCACCGCGATTACATCTGATTGGGCTTATAACACAACACGTGATAAAATTATGCAAATTAATCTGCCTGTACCGGCCTGAATATAGAACAAACCGGAATGACCCTCGTCGGAAGGCCACTGACGTAGCTGGAATACACAATACCCCTGCTGCATAAGATTGGCATAATACTGGATAGCTGAAACAAAACTGAACTGTCGAAATCAGTGGTGCTCGGCTTTCGAGCTTGTATCGCGCCGAGCGCGCGGGCACCAGGTGAGCATAGGCTATTATATATGACCTGCCTAGTTTGCCGTGCTCATCGCCCCGTCTGCTCGCACGTCTGCCACCACTATGCCGCGCAGTAAGTACCGCGGCAGTGCGCTCTATGCAGTTTGGTTCTTACCAGTAATACTGTATGCGTCGTGGCAGCATTGTGCTTTATCGTATATAATACACGCCGCGCCACGACCCGGCCGCGGCGCCGCGGCGCGCCGGCCGGACCGGACGCGGCCCGCCAGTGCATAATTTTCGGAGCCGCATAAATATAGACAATAAAGCAAGTGTCAAGGTAATTTATTTTCTTGTTATACACCGTATGCGTAAATATCGATATCCGGAAAGTTGTTAATCGCGATATATCGAGTTTCAAATATATTGCAATATACCGATATACCGGTATAAATCTTACACCCGCTACGGGATACCTAGAGAAGGCGTTGCCAGAAAGGAGGTGGTTGATCCCAAGCGGCTATAAGCGCAGATCTTGCGCGCAGTGCCGCCGGGGCAAGGCGCACGCGACCGCGGGAATGTCTACGACAGGTATGCAGCGCTGGCAGCTGATGATCCGTGCGCCGAATGAATTGGGCGCGGCGCACGGATCCATACTGCCAGCGAACAGTCCGCAATTTCAGTGGGGGACACAGAGGGTAGACATTTGGGACGTGAACAGTGTTCACTTGTTATAAAAACAATAAATTTCTCTCTTCGTAACCGGAGCTGTGTGAGCGCGAAAATGTCACAGAAAGACTGACGCAAATTCTCAGCGTTCGCGACGCTTGCCCAGTAATGGAAATGGCTGCAAGGACAAAAGGTCTATATAACAGGGATGAGATTAGAATATTTAATTTTCAGCTGACATTTTAATTAGCAAATCAGAGGAGGCGAGCAATGCGAGACAGTAGGTCATTTTTTTAAAAAGAATGGTGCATATTTGGTGCATTCTAAGCTATTCTGAACAAATGATAGGAGACTCTTGAATACACATTTTCAAGTTGTCAAAAGGAAACCAAACGAACTCAATAATAGGGCAAATTGGGCGGGGGGGGCTGAAAATAGGCAAGTTTTGTTATTTAATGTCTAGAATAATGATATTTTGTATGTTTCCAC